TGGACATAGAGGCGGGGCCACCCGGGGCAGCACTGTGCTGCTTCTTTTCTTACTCCAAGACATTGGTCAGCTCTTGCTTCGCGCCTCCTTCTGCCTGCCCGTTCCTCCCGGCGGGCAAGGGCCGCCATCCCCGGCAAGTAACCAGCCGGCCTGTGTCACAGGGCGGGGCGCGGAGGCCGCAGGGGATGCCTGGGGTTTTCCCCGCCGCTCCTCTGCCCCTTGCAGGCTCCAGGATTGAAGCGCCAGGACCTCGTGCCGCGGGGGCTGCAGCCCTGGCGCCCGCACTCAGTCGCTGCCGCTAGCCCCCTCCCCCCCACAACAACGTGTCCGGCCCCTGTTTTGGATCTGGCCAAACTGTCGCTTTCCGCCGCGGCGGGCGGCGAGCTCCGCGCTTGACCCGCGGGCCCGGCGGCGAGAAGCGCCCTCGTCCTGCTTGTAGACTTGCTCCCTCCGGGTTTCATGTTGTGGGCCCTAGCTTTTGTACTGAGAGAGAGTAAAAAATAAATCCCTGTTTACTTTCTCTTCATCATTTAGTGTTTTGTAAACCTTTATGATGTTCTTCCTCAAGCGTCTCTCTTTCTAAACTGATACCTTTCCTCCTTTTCTCCTTCTACAATTGCTTTTGGATATTTGGGACATGTTTTTAAAGGTATTGCAAAACCTGAAGATATGGGTGGGAGCCAAGTGGGGTTTTCAAAAGCACTGAAGAGGCATTTGGTGCAGCTAAATACCTTTAATATCTGGCCTGTTTTTCTTCCATTTCAGAGACTGTCATTACTAATTTTTTTTCCACCACTGGAGGGGGAGGCATATGGATAAGTTGTATCAAATTCATTTAGAAACAAAAAGCAAATGTTTGATCCTAGTTGTTCTTTCAAGTTTTTACTGTGCCCAGCTTTAGCACAGTTCACAGTAAAGGGATGGTTTTATTCAAGCTTTCTTAGGAATAGGAAACAGTGAGGAAAGCAACATTGTACTGAATTGATTAGTTTCTTAGACATGGCTTCTTGGAATCCTAACTGCGTTTTACTAAGAACAGCTACGTCTTTTGTGGATCGGCATCACGTGCTCTTATTTTTGTAACTCGCTCATTCTAATTGTGTTGGCTGTTAAACACAAATCTTTAGTTAAATTATAAAGAGATTTGTGTTATGAAGTTTCTTATTTGAAAGGCATTTTGCTCTAGATTTACGCTAAATCCTTACAGTGTGACAGTGATACCAGGTTGTTATAATGTGAACAATCTCATACCTGTAGCCCAGGGGTTGGCAACCTACAGTTCATGGTCCAGATCTGGCTCACAGAGCCATTTAATTAGACCCATGGACATCGGGCTTTGATGGCATTTAACAGCAAGGGACTTTGGCAAGAGTTGCTTTCCCCTGCCACCCTGGGTGCAGGTGCTGCACACCTGACCCAAACTGAAGCATTCTGGTCTGCAGCCTAGAAAGATTGTGAAGCGCTGCTCTAGCCTACCATCTGATTTACAAAGGCAGACACTTGCAGAGCCACTTTATTTTCTGTGGGACATTATACAAATATAAGGATCTTTCTATGCTGAGTCCCACTGAAGTCACTCAAGTTCTGCATGAGGTTAGTGTTTTGCTTGCATGGGTCACATTACAGTTTGGGGCCCCAATGGAGACTTCTGAAAAGATTTTTCCTACAAATAAGAACAGCGTTTATATTGTAGAGTACATTAATATTCTAGTTCTTTCCAATATTTGTTAGAAAGATTCACAGAATTTCAGTCAAGCATTGTGTAATTGGCCATACAGATTTTAGGGATTTAGAATAAATTAATATAAAATCTCCTGGATAATATGTTTACTGTTGTGTTTCCAAACATCAGGAATCCCTATTTTAAAAATATGGTGTGATGAATGACCAAATAAATAATGAAAGGAGAAAGGGAGCATTCCACACATAATTAAAACAATTTTCTTAATCAAGGATTATGTTTCAGGTTTTTTTAATAGATTTTCAAGGTCATTTTGAAAAAGGCATCAAGAAGTGATAGTTGACTATCCATGACTACATTAGCAAAATAATACTTTACTAGTTTTGACTTTTGTAAGCCATGCAGAAAGAAAATGACTAAGAGTGTGGATTGAGTTATCATCTTTGTGCATCAACAGAATTGTTTATTAATTTGCAGTCAGTTACACCTGTATTCCCCTATTAAGCACAGAGAGTTACACAAATGTGACTGGTGTCCTAATTTGGTCTGCAAAACTTATTACTAGTGATGATACTGAATATGGAAAGAGCCCATCTGATTCTCAGGGCTCATGTAGAAAGGGAAGTTGTTCAGAATTGCTTATTCTGCAGTAGTTGTTTCTGTCATGACATTTCCCTGTGTAAATAAGCCCTCAGATCCCAGGCCTGCAGGTAGGAAAAAAAAATCATTTGAACCCAATCACTCAGAGACAGTGTTGTTTTCGGCATAGAAACACTATTTAAAATAGTTATTTTTCTATTTTTAAGAAGTTAGGTTGTCATACACAATGACACAACACATCACTGTTGCATTTTTAATGAGTCAATCCTGAGATTTTGGTGGCTTTTTTTGACCTGGTAAATATAACAAATGTGCTGCTAGCAAGCCTGTTGACTTTGTACTCCCATGTATGTATGTTTCAGTACCTATCCACCACACATACTCTTCTTGATACACAACTACCATCCCACCCAGAGCTTTCTTTCATTTCTCTAATCTGAGCCTGTTTTGCTCCATTGCCATCTTCTATGGTTCTTTTTTGTCCTGCTCTTTCCTTATCTAGTTTAAGTTGTTGACACATATTTGCTTGCTGTACCTTTTCCCTTTATCCTACTCTAAAGATATTCTGCTAAGAGTGACCTCCAAGCCTTACAAATAGATAAAGGGAGTTACCTCTTCCTCATAGCCCTTCCATCAAAGGCAGGCAAAGAACTGGGTTTTTAAAGGTTTAGGTAAATACTTTAAGAGAGTTAAATTGTGGTAAAACTGGTTTTCTTTGCATAATGCGCTCAATAATTCAGGACAGTCTTGCATAAAATCAAGTTATCAGGCTTTTTTAGTAATTCACTGATCTCTTCCAGGTGGAAGGTATGTACCTTCACAATGTTTTAGTACTCTTTTCTCTTAAAAAGAAAAAAAAATACACTAAAAAAAATCTTTTATTTTGAATTAGGGAATTGGGTTTATTGATGGGCAGCTGTTTATGAGATAGCCATCTGTGGTACTGCAGTCTGGTTTTATTATTAAGTCATCAGTCCTAAACCCATGAAAGTTAAGATAGCATTTCCTCTACCTACTAAAAATGCTTGATGACTATGTTATTTGAAAAGATGTTTACAAAAGATAGGAAGCGTCAGTTAGTGGAGACAGTTACAAATTTGCTCTTAAAACCTTTTCTTCTCTCCACGAGTATTTTGTGTCACAAGTGGTAACCCTTGAGAATCAAAATTGCTACTTGAGTAAGAATAAATCTTTAGAAAATTCAATTTGTGTTCTTTGTTTTTCAGAGTCATATATCCTTTTGATCTTCTTAATGACCTGAGTGCAAAGCACTCAAAGTTAGTTATGTTGGTGAGCTGAAGAGAGTAGGTGGAATTGAATACCTCCCATAGAGTCTCTGCTAAACTTGTACCGTACTGTATACACTCAGAATTTTGCTGAACATTGGTACCTTTGGGAGGTTAAACATTTTTGTATGCAAGTACAGGAAACATCTGACATTTTAAGATGGGAAAGTGCTTAAAGAAATAAATCATATCCTTACAAAGGAATGTATACGTAACAGGAACTGGAACATCTATAATATACAGTGATTCACATGACAATGTATTGGATGCAGATCTTTATATGACATATGGACAGGAAGGAAAATGAATAATATTTTATATTACAGGTTAGTTAAAGGCTTCCAAAGAAGAGACTTCAAAAACTGTTTGACTCCAGAAATAAAGATGGATCCACCTTCTCTTGATCCACCTTCATTGGAGATGAACACACTTCATTGTTTAATTCCATAGATTTCATAGACACAAGGGCTGGAAGGGACCTTGTAAGATCATCGGGTCCAGGCCCCTGCCCAAGGGGCAGGAAGTCAGCTGGGGTCAAAGGATCCCAGCAAGGTAAGAATCCAAATATTTCTTGAAAGTGTCCAGAGTAGATGCTTGCACCACTTCTGCGGGGAGTCTGTTCCAGTCCTTGGGGGCTCGTACAGTAAAGGAGTTTTTTCTTATGTCCAGCCTAAAAGGGTCTTGCAGGAGTTTGTGACTGTTGGACTTTGTCTTCCCTTGGGGTGCTTTGGTGAACAGGCATTCCCCCAGGTCCTGATGTACACCCCTTATGTACTTATAGGCTCCCACCAGGTCACCCCTGAGCCTGTGCTTTTCCAGGCTGAAGAGTCCCATAGCTCGCAGCCTCTCTTCATAAGGCTTGTTCCCTTGCCCTCCGATAATGCACGTGGCTCTCCTCTGGACTCTTTCAAGCTTCTCCATGTCCTTCCTGAATTGTGGAGCCCAGAATTGGATGCAGTACTCCAACTGCGGCCGCACCAAGGCCGAGTACAGTGGGAGGATGACATCCTGGGTCTTGCTTGAGATGCATTGATAGATGCAAGCCAGACTTGTGTTTGCTTTGCCAGCTGCGGTATTGCATTGGTAGCTCATGTTCATCTTCTGATCAACCATAACCCCCAAGTCTCTTTCGGTCACGATGCTAGCGAGCAAAGCATTGCCAAGCCTGTAAGTGTGATGCGGGTTTC